GTAGCGATGCCAGGAGCCTCCAGTAGCTTCTTGTTCCTAGTATAGTATGGCCAGGAGCTACTAGTAGCATCCGTGCTCCTAGTAGCGATGCCAAAAGCCCCTAGTAGCTTCTTGTTCCTAATAGTAAGGCCAGGAGCCACTAGTAGCGTTGCCAGGAGCCCCTAGTAGCTTCTTGTTCCTAGTAGTATGGCCAGGAGCTACTAGTAGCATCCTTGCTCCTAGTAGCGATGCCAGGAGCCCCCAGTAGCTTCTTGTTCCTAATAGTAAGGCCAGGAGCCACTAGTAGCGTCCTTGCTTCTAGTAGCGATGCCCTTTGCTCCTAGTAGCGTCTCTCTTTTTGCACATGGTTTTTACATTGATAAATGAGCAAAGTGCTAAAGGTCAGCGCTCACGTTTCTTGAAACAAATGAAACCTGATTTTCTTTGACATGAGGACAACCGATAGTAATCCCAAAAACGATACCTAGCCAAATTTTTTGTTTTCTGTGTTTATTCCGAATTTATTAACGTTTGCTAATGGTTTTATTAGTCAGAGTCATTAGTCAATGTTCTCCGGGTGAAGGTGACGGGGTACCAGGAGGGAGATCGAGTGAAATTTGATGCTGAGTGGGATGAAAAAAAGGGCAACCACAAGGCACCGAGGCTGCAAAGTCAGGCGGTATGCAGTGTGAAATGCTGATGTTCCTCGAAATGTTGTGCCTGAAGTCACGAGATTGGAGCTGTCAGCCCAAGGCCGTAACATGGTACTTGGACATTGGAGTTATGCCAATGGGACAGGCCAGAGCGGTGGGCAGTCCCATTGAGATTAAACAGCGGGTCCAAGTGTTGATCCTAAGGCACGCTCTGCAATATTTTCAAGATTTCCCTTACAGTTTTAGATTCTCTTGTACTGATGGGGAAGCCCGTCCACACTCTGATGTACGTACCAGCGCATCTATGCTGTTTCAGAGACTAGCTCATATTCCCGCAACTCTGCAGAGGAAAGTCAAACAGCCAGACCGATCCGGCAAGGAGATCGGGACCCCTTGGCAGGATGCCCCCCCCACAAGTTTGTTCATCCATCTGCTTCAAGACAACAGTTGGCCGCTAGTAGGTCGGCTGCATGCAGAACTTCGGCTTTCAGCCCTTTGCTGGCCCAGGCTCTCAATGTCAACCCTGTGTTGGGTGGCCATGGGGTCTTCAGAGTTCAATCTGTGCTCATCCTTTCAAAGAAGGTAGTCAGGTGACAAGGCTGTTTGTCAGTTTCAATGCCCTGCGCAACACACGGGTGAACTTGTAAGGTCACAGGTACATTCTGTTGTCCATTGCAGTGCGGTGTGAAGCAGAGAGTGTTTACCCTTGCACAAATTTGCGACAGGGCCTTACGGCCCCATGGGCACGCCTGGTTGTGACCCGCGCTTTGCACCCTACGGCGCTGCATCTATGCAGAGCGGAATGCAGGGTGTGATGCCTGGAATGGTGCCTGGCGGGATGCCTGGCCAAATGGGGATGATGCCTGGTGGGATGCCAGGCATGCAGGGAATGATGCCCGGCGGAATGCCGGGTGGGATGATGTCGAACGACATGCTTGGAGGCCGGAACTCTTGAACGTCGCACGTTGCCTTATGTGTCATTCAGAGATGACAATGGTTGGTTTTGAATGCCGGAAGGTGGGCAGTGTGGCTTCTCGTGCCAGGGACCCAGCATCTCGAGTCCAAATTCCATCAAAGATCCCTGGGGCTCCACTCAGGCAGTTCTATGCAGAACGGCGGATCTGGCATGGAGCAGGTGTGGTTCTTCAAGATCTCTTTCGTACTTAGACATTTTGGACAAAAAATCTTGTTCTAAGAGAGTGAGTTTCTGAAACAAATCCAGTTTTTCCTTCTCATAACATCTAACCGCATCTTTGATGGTCCCCCTTCTACATGAAACCGTGCCAGATCGACCCCAGCGGTTTGCCGCCGGGCTGGGAGCAGATGACCGATGCTTCCACCGGAAAGCTGTATTTCTGCAATCGAGCCACGGGTGAAACCAGTTGGAATCCACCAGCATCCTCAGCAAATGCTCCGGCACCGGCAACGGCTGGTGCACCCATCTCAGACCTGCCTGAGGGATGGGAGCAAGCGAAAGACCCCACTGGGAAGCCTTACTACTTCAATAGAAGCACTAATGAGACCAGGTGGGACCCGCCATGAGACCATCGTTTCTGGGAATCATGGCTGTTTCCTTCAAAACCCTTTTAGTGCTTGGCGGAAGAAGCCAGGTTTAACGTTGAATGTTTTGGAGCTCTTTTTGTTTCTGTCTGTTCCACAAGTGAATACCTGTCTAGCTTGTTTTCTTGGTTCAATCTTCCGCTGGATGCAATGCTGGCAAAAGATGCAGCTTTGCATAGATGTTTCTATGGTTCACAGCCAAAGTTAATGCTTTGCAACATTGTGCAGGGCCTGCCAGTCTTTCGCACTAAGCTGGATGTCCGGACGAAAAGGACAGCCTGAATGTTTGTGCCAAAGTGCGTCGTACATGCAAGCTGGGCGAAGCGGTCAAATATTTGGCGATGTGCCACTGGCAGTCTGAAACGACTGTGACATCATGTGACATCCTGTACTCGTCAGGTTTTGTTGTCCCCACTGTAAACTCTGGCGCAGCGTTGTCCTGGTGCATCTGGGGACGGGTTGGCGATCCTCCCCTGTGTGTAGAACACCCAAATCAGGGTGACGCAGAATGGTCAACCGTCCTTGAGCCTCAGTCAGGTGAGCAGTTCGCATTGCCTTTGGCGCATTCCTTCGAGAACCTTGTGGCTTGACGCAGTTGGGCCGAATCCATAAAGCCCGAAAGAGGCTATAATGTGGCAGGTTCCCTCGACTTGGTTGTTGGAAACAACAGAGTCCATGCTGTTGATTTGGAGCGCTTCTGGCCCGGCCTCCTTTTCATGAGGTTCCACTGTTAATTTCGAGCACTTCTGGTCCCGTAAAGTCATAAATCCATTGACTTTGTAGCAACATTGCATGAGTTTGGTGGCCGGTATGGAGACAGGTCAGCTAATGAACTCCCCTGTTTGGACAATTGAGTCTCTAAGCCTGGAAGAAAGGACGCCAGCAGTTAGCATTTCTGAGGTTAGATTCTTGGTTTGAAGCAGTTGCAACAAACAGATGAACATGTTTCATTCACAAGTATCCTGATGAAAGCGGAAGCCTTCAGTTGCCCCCACAATATGCATCCGCATCTGCCACATTTGTCGTGCCAGGTAGGGCCTTTGTTGGAGCTAGGGCATTATGATGAGGTCGATTTCAGAGTCGTGCGGGACTTCTTTTGTTCCTTTTCTGGGAGGGCAACCAACGTCAGTTTCCAGTCCTCATAGACCTTACGCTGATATGTTCAGCCCGCGCCAAAGAGGATACTGCATCAAAAATGGTTCGTCAGGCGCAGCGCCTGCTGATGCGACCGCGGCTGGTGCCGCGCCAGAGTTTTGATCTGAGGTCTCCTTCGGCCTTCGGCAATTCATGAAGGCCTGAACAGTGGGATGAGTTTCTTCAGATTGTGTTTGCTCAAAGCTGAAGGTCAAGGGATGCCGACCTGACAGGTTTAACATGGCTTAACTGACTGTACTGAAACAAACAAACTCAGCTTAGTAGCAGTGCAAGAGAGACTCAATGAAGGTATGCTAAGGTCCTTTCTTTCGAAACTGTCAATTCCACAAGACACGGAGAGGCACAGGAAGAGGCACTCTCTTTCTGTTGCACTGGTTGCCCCAGTGACCGGCTCCGGGACAGAACCGGAGAGAAGGCTTGTGAAGAATCTCCAATCTAACCAGTCTCCCTGACACCATGTTTAGTCTACCCGTCTACTCATACCACACCTCCCATGCCCAATTCATACTGCAGTTCCTTTTTGACATCACCAGTGGTGCATCAGTGCCCCAGTGGCATTGGCCCTCCCTGCAATGTCACCAGTGCCGGAGGGCTGGCGCTCGCTTCTGGAGGCTTGGAGCAGAGGGGTAGACGGATGGCAACTGATTGATGACTCATAGATGAACAGGGTCACCTTCAGCCTATCAATGAAATTCTTCTCAAGGGAACCCCGCCTTTAGGCCCTCCAAATCCTCCAACCCCTGCGGTTTAAATTCACCATGCTGTTTGGTCCTCAAACCTGCCCTGTCGAGGTGAACCCTCCTTTGAAGCAATGCCGTGCCCTCCTTTTTCACGGTCACGGTGACCATCAAGCAATGGACTGCACTGTGGGTCTGAATGCTGGTGTGCTGCTTGGCACAATTCATAAAACAATGGTGGCACTGCTACTACCAAGAGGGACGAATCACGCTTGCCCGTGCAATGTGGTAGCACTCTAAGTGGACATGGGTCAGCTTTCCAGTCTTCACGGGCTGGCCATCGGCATCGAATCTTTTGGCGGGGGGGCTAGTTCGGGTGTTTGAGCTTTGGGGATTTCAGCTCCTTTGGCAAAAAATGCGAATGCTTTGTGCTCAATCTTGGAGCCTTTGTATCAAGGTGTGGCCATCCATGCAGTGACATTGGCGAGTGCAGTGTTTACATATTCTTTGTTTCACCTGCACAACAGAGACACATTTGGATGAAGCCCATGCACGAAGCAGCAAATGAAACGTAACTATGTCACATGCCACCGCAGTGACGTGGAGCAAGCGAACACTGACTCTACCAACAGCAGTTGTTGTTGTTGTTGTTGCTGCTGCGTTTAAAAGGTGACTTATAGAACACTGTCAGTGTATTGCCCACCTCTTGCTAGAATAACCGCTGGCTTCCTTGGCGTGATGTGGAGCTTGCTGGCGCTGCTGTTTGTGCCAGCAAACTCTCAATGCGCGGCACCTGTGGTGGATGGCCAAAGTCCCTCAGGGTGTCTTGTCTGCAGTTTGACACAGGCCGAACAGAGTTGCCAGATTTGAAATTGCCACCAAACGAAGATTTTGACGGGGAAAGAGTACAAGCTCACGCTACTTACAGTCGATGTTACATATTTCCGATGGAGCCATTCCATCTGATATTCCCCGTTTGAGGGGAAGGAGATGGAAGGAGGAAAAGAAGAAGGTAAGGCCCTGAGGCCCCTTTAGCAAGTCCCCTTGACTTGTACGCAGCTCTTTGGACTGCTCTCAGGTCTTGCGCCGAAGGCGATACGATCGCGGACTTTGGGACCTGCACGCCGCAATGCGCCGATGGATACATCTTGTCAGTCCCAGAGCCTGAGTCGGAAACAAGAACACAAGATAGCACAAGACTCTGGTAGACCACAACATCCCATGGAAGGTCCATGAAGGTTTTATACGAGTCGCTTTGTGAAGCATCTCTAATGTACGGCACAGGATGGAGGATGTGCCAAAGCCGCAACGTGCTAGCTCTAAACTCTAAACACTGAAGTACTTGTTACTACTAGCGATGCACTTGTTACTAGTAGCGTGGCACTTGTTTCTAATAGCTTCTTGTTACTACTAGTAAGGCACTTGTTAATACTTCTTTTCAATGAGGGCGAGCAAGTAAGCATCGAAGGAGGCCTAAAAGCAAGAGCCCTGACAGGATCGATCGTGGGTTCACAGAGTGGCTTCTGTGGGTTCGCTGCAGCTAAGGACATCTCTGGGCTTTTGTTTTGTTACAACGGTCAGTATTCACCTCCAACATTCACCTGTGCTGGGATCAGCTGTGCAGTTCCGCTTGGGATTCCCTTCGGTGGTGAGACCGAAGGGCCGTACAACTGCGAGGAGAACTGGACAGAGGTGCCACATGGGAGTGTTTGCACTCCAAAGTGCCAGCAGGGTTTCACTCCAGATGCTTCGAACTTGCCCTGGGATCCAGTGCTTCGAAAAGTCTACCTCCCCTGTGTGGCCGGAGTCTTGTCACCCAGCACTTTCACCTGTTTGGGATCTCCATGCCCAATTCCTCCAGCTGGTCATCGGCCAGGTGAAATCCCCAATGCAAACCAGGAAAGGCCTTGCTCCTTGAAGTTGAATTTGCCAGAGCCACTGATTCCACACGAAGGCTTTTGCGATCCCCTCTGTGTGAGTGGCTACCATCCGAATGTGTCGCTGATCCCTTGCTTCGCTGGGAAGCTTAACACGCTTTGGGAGTGCTTGGGAGACCCCTGCCCAGCGCCAGAACTCATTCAGTTTTCTGCGAATGTGACCTGCAAAGAGGGACCAGAAGTGCCCCATGATGGCACTTGCACCCCAAACTGCAGTCCTGGCTATACAGCAACCGAAAGTGGACTGAATTGTTTGGCCGGCGCACTCATTCCACCGCGTTTTGAATGCTTCGCAATGAACTGCACAGCTCATCATTGGCTCCCTGGTGCACCGATACCTCTTCCAGGCTACAACAAGACGGTGGCATACTCTGGAGCTGCAAACGAGCCTGTAATTGAATGGATCCCGCCAGAGCCTCAAACCTGTGAGCAAGGAGCAAGTATATCCAGTGGAGCCATTTGCACAGTTCAGTGTCAACCTGGCTACCTGCCGGACATTCCAGCTCTTCATTGTCACACTGGCACCTTCAACCCACCACTGCCCCTTGGTAAAGATTGCAAGTGTGTGACTCTCCAAATGACTTTCAAAGAAACAATGGCTGATAGGGGTGACACCCGTTAAGTTTGATCATTTGCAGGATGATGTAGGATGGTCATGAGTCATATTCATGTATAAAATGCCATATATATATATACACAGAACCTACTATATAGGACTATACAGAACCTACTATATAGGACTGCAAATACTAATTGAAGAGACATCAGGCTTTTCGACACCCCTTTTATTCTAGTTCAAAAGACACCAAGGGTGGAATACAACAAAACGGATCTGGGAACAGCGGGCATGCTGTTCAGCTAGTGGATGTTTTCCATTTGCCCCTCTTGGTCTGCTTGGTCTGTACCACTTGCCCTGCTTGCTCGACTTGCTGATGTTTCCCTATTTTGTCTTCCCAGTAATTACATGAACGTTCCTCCTTCATGCTCCTTCGGCCTTTTATTTAGCTTCCTTTGTCAGTGTTTCCCGTTCCCGTATTCCATTGAACATGGATGAATATACATGTACTACACTGAGTTAATACACTTGTTATTTGAGCTTCCCCTGCGAAAAGAGTGTCAGCTCCAGAGCTGCGACATGAGGTACAATTGCATTGGCCAGGCATGCACTGCTCCAAGCGGTGTCCCTGATGCTCCAGCGGTACCATGCACAGAAGGGAAGGCGATTCCTCACGGGGAGGTTTGTACACTCTTTTGCGATCAGGGCTTTGTTCCCTCGTTGGTCAACCTCACCTGCAATGCAACAAGCTTTGAGCCGTCAAACTTCTCATGCCACTTGGCACGAGTGAGGCTGTTTGTGTTGACATTTTCACGAAAGCTAGCACCAGCTAGCTGGAGTTGTCCTTGCTTTAGCAAGTGAGGGGCTGGAATCCTCGGGATCGCCGAATCACGTGAAAACTTCATATGTAGGGCCCCCCCCCCCGTGGGTTCAACTCCCCCCTCGGACGCCTCTGGGACACCTCTCGGGCATCTCTTATGGCATCCACTTTGGCTTAACTCCTCCGGGATACGGTGCAACAGATTCAACAAGCTCACATGTTCATGCCATCGACATCGATAGAAGAAACCAAACAAATCATGCAAGCAGCTTTGTTTTGCCTCTGGGACACCTCTTGGGCACCTCTTATGGCATCCACACTGGTTCAACTCCTCCGTGAAGGTTTTGGGATACGGTGCAACAGATTCAACAAGCTCACAGGTTCGTGAACACATCGGATGCATCGAACAGTGTGGCAAAGTCCAGCCACGCTTCCTTAATTATCGGGGACTTCAATTCTAAGGTTGGCTGTGTCATTGCTGTTTGTGTGTCTTACATGTTCACAACGTTTTACCTCATGAGCATTTGCCTCACTCCGCTTGATGTCCCACCAGTCCGGATGCACCCCTGCTAGCTTTCGTCACCTACCCTCGGCCTCAAGTGGGCTTTACCGTTTGGAGAAGGTCAATCCTTGACTCACGGCCTGTCTGTGATTTGTCAACCAACCAAACCAAAATGATGGATGTTCTACAACTTAAAACTGCGTTTGCAGTTCTCATTTCTGCTGAATTTTGCGGGAATGGTAGGCATGTAAACTGCAACGAGGATTAGGACGAGCGAACATGCTTGGAATCGCACAGCCTGCGCAAAGGCATCGGTCTACCCTGCAGCTATCCAACAGGAGTTCCCTTTGCTGCAGTGCAACCTTGCTTGGAGCCGGAAGACAACTTAACGCATGGAGCCACTTGCACCACCCAGTTCCCCGTCTTTCTATGAGTTTGCTTGTTTACTTTTGGAAGTGATTGAGAGTCTTCTTGTTCCCTGAGGTGGAAAAGGTTTTTTTGTTTGGTGCATGTTTAGTGCTTGGGTCGAACGCTGTGCTCTGATGATCATTGATACCATGCCTCCTCCCTTTGAGGTGTCAAGACGGGTACATCCCCACAGAG